TCCATTAAAGTAAGGTATGTACACATCCCTATCAAAATGTTAATATAACAGTCAATCCTGTATTAGGAAATGTTAGGACATACTATTGTAAGGCAATATAAAACATTACAAAGTAGAATGAAAAATATTGAGCTGCTGTAGAGCAATAGTTTAGAAGTCTTGCCATTTTCTTTGCATGCTCTAAGCGATCTTGCTATCCTCAGATGAATTAGAAGTGTAGCTTCATCTCTTGAACCGAAGACTTATCCCTGGGATTGATGACTATGTATAACGTGCAGCAGGAAATATTTGAGAGAGAAAGAATCTACCCAAAGTACTGATCATGTCCTATTTTCAATTCCTCTCAGTTCTTAAATTATTGTTACCCAACTACAGAACTGCAAAAGGTGGGAGCAAGTATGGTGGGTTTTAATTGTATCCAGAAAGTGACAATCTATGTTCCACCATGGTAATAGAATATATAGAACTTTTTCTCATTTTCTTCAGCAGGGCCTAAAATCTAGAAATGTTAGGGAGCATCCCATATCTTGAGAAGCAAGAAGATATCTTCATCTCAATGGCTTTGAATCAGTAAAAATACAACTGTTGTCAAGGAACAGCAGCAACTTTGCATTTCATATTAATATTTACAGAGTATAGGATGAAATTTACTGAGGCTTTCTGATATGGAATACTCGGGCTGAAATAATTTCTTTTCAGAGCCAAGAAAAATAGATTACAAATTAAAGCTGCACACATTCAAAAATGACATCAAGATGTACTATGTTATAGTAAATGTAATATATAATAAAAATGGAATGTTTGCTTTTCAACGTATGGATTATCTTTTGTCAATGTTTGTTTTTTAAGGATGAAATGCTTTGCAGGTTTCATTTTTAATATACTTTCAGTTATAAAGTTTCACAATATCCTAACTCTTTAAACAATAAAAGTGTAAATCACTACATTAGTTTTCAGAATATTTTAAATTATTGATTATTTTTAGCACTGCAGGCTTGCATCAGTATGTTATCAGGTTTAATTGATTCATTAAAGAATGTACATTTTAATTAGTAAGAAGACAGATTTAAATTCATAGGACCAAAAGAAAAGCATTTTTTAAAAGTTTGCTGTATTAATGTAATAGTCACGCAAAAGAAAAACTATAAAAGATGGTCATTTTTCTTAACACTGACTAGAGGGTGTTGTTTATTAAAAATTGCAAACATGCTTCTTTGTAATATTTCAAAGTCATCAATTTTGATGTACTGGTTATGTGTATATGTATAATCATTAATAATAAATCACTTAAAGACAGGAGATTAATCAACCAAAATTCTACACTAAGTTTAAAAAAAGCCTTGATCTGCATCAGCAAATAATTGTTTGTGTAGCCCTATTCAAATACACATAATCAAATTTGTGCCCACATGCCGGAGAAAGGGGTTTATGTATCCCTTTATTTATGAAAGTTATAGTTACTAAAATTCAAAAACAATAACTCTATTACATTGAGCTGCAGGTTCACACTTTTTAGTTTTCATTTCACTAGAGATGGTTAGTTTCTTATTGATTTAAACAATTAGAATAATACTTTGGGAAACCAACCTTACTATTTGCTTTTTCCAGAAAGTGAAACTGGTATTTTTGTAGAACTTCAAAGAACAATTTATGATGGAAACACTGGCGTCAAAGCAACAGCCCGTAAAATACAATAATGTCTAGTAGGAGATGTATAGTTGGTTTACATCTGGTAGATGGCAATCCATATTCTCAAGTATTTATACCTTTTAGTGCCTCAAGTATATTTTGAATTTTACATATTTTTATACAGGTTTAATGAACATATATTTTTACCCAGGTCAGAATGATATATAGCAGCACACTCTATTAAATGCTGCCACCTATGTTGAAACATAATCTATTTTAAAATATCACTGTATATTAGTTTGTAAGTTTGTAAGTTTAATTTTATTTATAGGCTGCCCAATCCCGAAGGACTCCGGGCGGCTTACAGAAGGGAAAAGAAATAAAATAAAATAAAATAAAAATAGAATAAGAAAAGTTGAAACGACACAGATACATTCATTTCAGTCGGGGCAGGACCTCAACAATGAGGTCAACAGCCCCAGGCTGCCGGAAAAGCCAGGTCTTGACAGCTTTTCTGAAGGCCATGAGAGTGGGTGAGGTCCGGATTTCTGGGGGTAGTTTGTTCCAAAGGGTCGGGGCAGCCACAGAGAAGTCTCTCCTCCGGGGAGCCACCAGCCGACATTGTCTGGCTGACGGCATCTGAAGGAGGCCAACCCTGTGGGATCTTACCGGCCGCTGGGAGGAGTGAGGCAGTAGGCGGTCTCGCAGATATGCTGGTCCTAAGCCATGTAGGGCTTTAAAGGTAATAACCAACACCTTGAATTGCGTCCGGAGACCAATGGGTAGCCAGTGCAGCTCACGGAGGATAGGTGTAACATGGGTGTACCTAGGTACACCCAATATCGCTCGCGCGGCTGCATTCTGGACTAGTTGCAATCTCCGAACGCTTTTCAAGGGTAGCCTTGAAAAAAAAAGAAATTCATTGTATCTTTGGCTTTTAAAACTGATGTAGTGAATGGCCTTACCACTGAATTATATCCTTTTCCAAAGACAAAGAAAAAAGGTAAGAAGCTGTTTCAGTATGCAGGTAGTCCTTGACTTACAACAGTTTGTTTAGTGACCTTTAAAGTTACAATGGCAGTGAAAAAAGTGACATTACCTACAACCATTATAGCATCCCAATGGTATGTGATCAAAATTCAGATGCTTGGTAACTGGCATTTATTTATGACAGTTGCAATATCCCAGGGTCATGCAATTTTGTGGCTTTCTGACAAAGCAAAGTCAATGGGCAAGCCAGATTCACTTAACAACCCTGTTACTAACTTAACTTAAATTAAATTAACCTAGCTTATTTTATCTTAGCTTATTTTAGCTTAGCTTATTTTAGCTTAGTCTAATCTAGCCTAGTCTAGCCTATCATAGCATAGCATAGTTTAGCTTAGTTTAATTTAATTTAACTTAAAAGTGATTCACTTAGTAACTGTGGCAAGAAAAGTTGTAAAATGTAAAAAATTTACAAATGTCTTACAGTAAGTAAGTACTTACTTACTTAATACTCACTTAGCAAGAGGAATTGTGGTCTTAAATCAAGGATGACCTGTACTTTCCGCCTAGAAAGCAAATATCTTAGAAGGTTTGGTGTATTCTTGTGACTCAAATGATGTGTAGCACATCATCTGTGCTGATTGAGGTTGCAAGAGATTGTTATATAACAGAGTTGTGATTATGGTCTCTTAAGGGGCACCAGTTCAAATCTGAATGAAAAATTCGTAAGTAGGAAAAAAGAATGACAATTGTAAGAGATGTTAAATATTCGACTGTAACAAATTGCATTCTTTAACACTATCCAGCCCTACATGTTTCTGCAATATATATATATATATATATATAT